CAAAGACGCTGGTACTCACCACAAAGTGTCTATCAAAGGTGCTGGTACTCACCACAAAGTGTCTATCAAAGGTGCTGGTACTCACCACAAAGTGTCTATCAAAGGTGCTGGTACTCACCACAAAGTGTCTATCAAAGGTGCTGGTACTCACCACAAAGTGTCTATCAAAAGTGCTGGTACTCACCACAAAGTGTCTATCAAAGGTGCTGGTACTCACCACAAAGTGTCTTTCAAAGATGCTGGTACTTGCCACAAAGTGTCTATCAAAGGTGCTGGTACTCACCACAAAGTGTCTATCAAAGGCGCTGGCACTCACCACAAAGTGTCTATCAAAGGCGCTGGTGACACCCACACGCCCGGAGAGGCCCATGACGTCGACTGCGGAGGAGCACCTTTGATGATTTCCGAGGAAGTGCTTTCCAGGATCAGGTTTCCACCTGCGAGCGAAATTGTGGTGTGGTGTAAGTTGGAGGCTACATTGTGTGAAATACTCAAACATGATTTAAACAAGAAGTCGTTAGGCGACAAGCTTACAAAATTTGGTGATGTTATATATGAGCACTGCTCCCGCGAGTTCGGGACAGTGCATAAGGCACAGCCGGGTGCCAAGCAGAATACTAGCAGGAGGCAGAGGGACATTCTGAAGTGTCGGGCAGACAAGAATGCCCTCAGAAAACGGTTCAAAGCCGCTACAGGTAGCGAATGGGAGGGGCTGTACGAAGTCTGGTTGCATTTAAAGAACAGACACAGTGCCCTCTGTCGCGCTGAGCGTTTCTGTGCCAACAGACGGAGAACCAAAAGGGAGCGAGAGAAATTCTTTAGGGACCCGTATCAGTTTGCCTGAGGTCTATTCGAGCAACCGAAGTCTGGGACTCTGGTTGTCAGTCAGGAAGAACTTGAGTCACATCTACGCAAGATGTACTCCGACAAAAAGAGGAGAGAGCCTCTCGATGACAATCCAGAGATCCTTAGCGGCCTCAAGCAGCCTTCGGTGCCGAAGATACCATTTAAAATGATACCTCCCCTTTGGTCTGAGGTTGAGGAAGTTAAAAAGGCCAGCGGCAAGTCTGCCCCAGGTCCGAACGGTGTTCCGTACGTTTTTTACAAGCGCTGCCCGAAAATCCTAAAAATGCTTCACGTCTTGTTGAGACAAGCGTGGATCCGTAATCACATATGTCCAGAGTGGCAAAAGGCAAATGGGGTCTACATTCCCAAAGAGCAGGACTCGAAGAGTCTTTCCCAATTCAGGCCCATCTCGCTGTTGAATGTCGAGGGTAAGATATTCTTCTCGGTCATGGCTCGCCGGCTCACACAGTATCTGATGGCTAACAAGTACATCGATACGAGTGTTCAGAAGGGTGGTATTCCAGGCGTTCCTGGGTGCTTCGAACACGCGACCATGATTTGGGAGGCTATCCAGAGAGCCAAGCATGAGAGAACCCAATTGCACGTGATATGGTTGGACTAAGCCAACGCCTACGGGGCAGTCCCCCATAGGCTACTATGGCGAGCCCTTCGCATGTTTTACGTACCGGCACAGATCAATCAAATGATCGAACAATATTTCTCTAAGTTCGCTTTGCTCTTCTCTACCTCGACGTTTACCACGAGATGGACTGAGTTGCAGATTGGGATAGCTATGGGCTGTACGATCTCACTAATACTGTTTGTCATGGCCATGCAGATCATGTTAGACGGGGCGGCCGGCTACGGACAGGGCCTTCAAATAGGGGATCACTGGATGCCGCCACTACGCGCATTTATGGATGACACGACTATTATAACGGGCAGCGAGGAGTCTGCCCGCACGATCCTGAAAAGATTGGACGCGGTGGTCCAATGGAGCGGTATGCAGTTCAAACCGCAGAAGTCGAGGAGTCTGTCTATCCTTAAGGGCAAGGTGTCGGCAACCAGTTTTACGGTGGCAAGGAACAAGATCCCTACGGTTCTGGAGGAACAGGTGAAGAGCCTTAGTCGCGTTTACGATTCGAAGTTATCTGATAGAGCGGAGGTCCGGCGAATACACGAGTCACTGGCTACAGGCCTGCTCGCGATCGAGCGTTGCAGGCTGGTCGGGAAGTTCAAGGTATGGTGTCTCCAATTCATGTTGATTCCGAAGCTCCTATGGCCGCTGTTAGTCTACGAGGTGACGATGACTGCAGTGGAAACCATGGAGAGGAAAATCAACACAGCCTTAAGAAAGTGGATTGGTGCACCGCCTTGTCTGACCGACGTGGCTCTGTATTGCAAGCAGGCTAAGCTGGTACTCCCGTTCAAATCGATAACTGTAGAGTTTAAAGTTGGCAAAGTAAGACTCGCCATGCTCTTGCGCGAGTCTTCAGACCCAAATGTCATCGCTGTCCAGCCCGCTCTAAAGACTGGCCAGAAGTAGAGGGTCCTCGATGCGATTGAATCTGCGCAGAACGCACTAAAATTGAAGGAGATAATGGGTTACACTCAAACCGACCGTCGAGGCCTAGGGCTCGGGAAGGTCAATTGGTGGTCAAAGGCCTCAGCCAAAGAACGCCGAGACATGGTAATACAAACGGTGAGAGACAACAAAAACGAAGTTCGTTTCCATAAAGCAGCCCAGCAGTCGCAGCAGGGCCATTGGGTCAGCCTGGAGAGCGCATTGCCAAGAATACTTACATGGGGTGAGATCTGGCGAATGACCCCGCTGCGACTGAGCTTTATCGTTCGTTCGGCGTACGATGTATTACCGTCCGGTGTTAACATGGTTAAGTGGTCTGCGACTAACGATCCGACTTGCCCGTTGTGCAAAGCGAAGCAGACTCTTGAGCACGTCCTGTCCGCGTGCAGGAAAGTTCTAGGCCAAGGCCGATATACCTGGCGACACAACAAGGTGCTAAAAGAGTTAGCAGCCGTTGTTGACCAGGCTAGAATAAGGGCTAATGCCAGAGCCAGTTCTACCATCGTCCCCATTCGTTTCCTCAAGGCTGGGCAGATTCAAAAAGGTAAGGTCAACCGAAACGCATTCACTCCATCTGTGCTAGACTCTGTGAGGGACTGGTTACTGGCGGTTGATCTGCCAGGCCATGAAAGGTACCCCGAGTTAATCCGGAAGACCGGCCTGCGACCTGACATAGTTCTCCACTCTGCGGAAAAACGGCAACTCATCCTGATTGAGCTTACCGTCCCGTATGAGTCGCGTATGGACGAGAGTCACACATAAAAGCTCGAGAAATATTGTGACTTAGCAGCCGGTCTGAGAAGAGACGAGGCGTACACGGTACGTGTCTTTGCCGTCGAAGTGGAAGCGCGAGGTCTCGTCTCCACTTCATTGTACAATGTGGTTAAAGAACTAGGATTGCGCGGTAATGAACGGAAACGAACACTTACAAAACTGGGCGAGGCAGACGAAAGGGCCTCGAGCTGGCTTTCAACGCAACGCAACAACGTAGGGGACGGGCCTCGGTGAGCTGGTCCGGGTTTCTAGTGGAAAAGGGTTTCTCACCCTTTGAAAGTCCATCGTGTCCAAATTGTCTGCCAGTGTTCCTCTGCCACCTGCTAACAAAAGTCCAACATGTGTCCGGTAAACCAAACGTAAGCTTGTCCTCGGTCGTCCAGGCATGCTGACTGTTCTAATTAGGCTACCGCAACGACTTCTTATCTCACAATACCTTCTGCGAAACCATTAAGTCGTCTTGTCCCTATCCGAAAGAAAACACCATCCGGTAATCTCTTGCAGCAGGGTACCAGCCCTGAGCTTCATGAACTCAGGTTGGCCCACCTCCGAAAGTGTCTAGGAATCGTGGGCCGAAACACTTGTCGACGAGGATAATTTCTACTGACGACTGGTAGATCCCTGCTGTACTTGCTCCCTGTGAGTTTATTTCTATTGCCTCGAGTGCTGTGATGTCAATTCTTGACTCAACTCAACTCAACTTACCGCTTCGGGGGTCGAGGAAGATATAAGGCTCTGAGTTTTTTGCTCTTCTGGTCACTTCAACCGTGTTTTTATAGAGTTTCTCTGATGTTATCTGTCCATATAGTTCTTAGTCTACCTTGTGCTCTCAGTGCATCTCCTCTTTGTACTGTATAGCTTCGCTGTAATCCTGAAGAGGACAAATTGTAGTACAATGTAATGTGGAGTAAAATCTGAGGGAAGTTAACAGTTTTCACATGTCATAACTGCAGTGGATAGACAATTGCCTGCCAGTCCGAAAGTTGGAAGTTCGAATCCTCAGCGGGTTCGATTTTATGTATAAGTGACCGTGACTAATATATCGACCCAACCATGTTTGTTGTTTCAGTATCCAGAAGCCATGAGTTGTTAACCCTTGGGCTCGGTATTATGGATATCGCAACCTTTCGGCCGTGATTCCATTGTAAATACCGTAAATCTGGGAGAAATGTGGCTTTTCTGCCTACCCCCGGGATTGAACCCGGACCACAAGGAGTTCGTCGCCCGGTCACCGCGAAATCCGGTTTAGTCAACTACGCTAGAGAACCGGGCATCGACCCAACCATAAAAAAGGTACCATAAAATGTCATGGGAAGTAAAAGCGGTCGACACAATTTGACCACGCTGCCCATGGGACACGGATTGATTTATATAAATATGGCTCTAGCACCATATACCCGAAGCGTCACTGGCGCAAAACAGCTCCTTTACTTTCTATAGTTTCCATCATCATCATAAACCACTTCTGCCCTTAAGCGGCGTGGGGATAAATAGCTTGCGATCCAGTGCCCGCTGGCTGCCACTGGCAACTGTCATGTTGTTAAGGTGTGGAGTGTCTTTAATGTTGTCGATTTATGTTTTCGTGACCGTCCTCTTGCTGTTGTAGCCGATCTTCTGAGATGTAGTGCTTTTGATGGTATTTGATCTTGCTGCATTCTAACTAGATGCTTTAATAACTGCAGTAACTACACTCTAATGCTCCTCCGCATGAAAATAAAATATGACAAATGCATTTTCTATTCCAAACCAGGGCTCTGGTTCTGACTGACCAGGCATCTTTTTTTCACCCAGAGCCATGGACATAATACTAGGTATAAACATTTCCGGATCACCGGGGACATTACCGAGTATAAACGTTTCTGGAGAAGCTAACGAAACTTCAACGACCCCTGGAGACACTGATAACTACATCGACTTAAACCCAGACGAGGACCAGAAGCTTGATTCGTGCCCCACTATTCGTGGTTTATGTAAAGAAAATCTGCTGGTCCCTATGTGGAGGCTGGAACTTGATACAACAGACGACGATAGATACTTTAGAGCGATCCTATACGTAATAGCTTTGATTTATCTGTTCATTGGTCTGTCGGTTATTACAGAACGTTTGATGACGGCAGTTGATGTCATTGTCTCAAAAAAGAAACAAATCGCTGTCATGATATCGGATGGTACCATTGTTTATGTAACTGATCGGTTGTGGAGCGAAACTTTGGCAAATGTAACCATAGTGGCGCTCGGTTCTTCTGCTTCAGAAATATTACTGACAATAGTAGAAGTGTATAGTAATGATTTTCAAGTAGGGAGTCTTGGCCCATCTGCTATTATTGGTAGCGCTGCATACAATTTGTTCATAATTTCTGCAATTTGTATGTTCGCTGTTCCAGTTGATAAAGCGCAAAAAATAACAAAAGGACGTGTATTTCTCGTGACTGCTGCATGGAGTGTTTTCGCATACATATGGCTCTTCATAATTTTGTTTGTTATAAGTAAAGGAGTTATCGAGATCTGGGAGGCTGTGCTAACTTGTTTGTTTTTCCCAGGAAGCGTGTATACCGCATACCTGGCTGATAAGAATGTGGAAGTCGGCAAATGCATGGGTCGACAATATTGTGGGAGTGAGGAAGTCACCAAAGAGTCACAAGGAAAGTCTATGGAAAGCGTGACTGACTCAAGGGTGGGGAATGTAGAAGCAAAGAACAGCAACTTATTACTAGCTGCTGAGCAACAGCGAAATGAAATCGCTTTGATGATAAGCAAACTACGAGAAACTAATCCACACCTAAGTTTGACAGCTGTCGCGGCAATGGCCAAAAAACAAATAATGAATAAAGAGCCAAAGTCTAAAGCTTTTTATAGAGCCGCAAAGAAAATAAACAGCTGGCCTCAGATTATGAAGGAAACAGAAAGCTGCACGGCAATAACTGAAGAAGAGTATGATTTTAATGTGACCAAAGTGTTCTTTGAATCGGACACTTATTCTGCGATGGAGGACGCTGGCATGGTAAGATTAATGGTTCTAAGAAAGAACGGGGACATTAACAAGGTATGTCGCGTAGACTACTATACAGAAGATGGCACAGCTAAAAATATTCTCAATTACGCTGCTGCAAGAGGCAGTATAATTTTCAAACCTTTGCAGACGAAAGCACAGATCAACATTGCTTTGAAATCTGGTAATAGAATTCATGAAGATGAATATTTCTACGTCCGCCTTTCCAACCCAAAGCTCAGAGACATTCATGAGAACGAACTGGTAACAGACACGAGAAGGGCCTCGAGAAGGCCTTCGATATCTAGCGACTCAGCATCTGTGGACTTTAGACATATTCCATTTCAGATGCCAGAAACTGATGTAAGTCTATATCCTCCTTATGTAGCCACAGTCACCCTAGTTGATGCCAACCATCCTGGGATATTCTATTTTCCCAACACAACTCTGATCGTTGAGGAAAACTGTGGCGATATACCCGTTAAAGTCTGTCGAGCGAAGGGTGGGAAAGGGCGCATTAAACTCCCTTACCATCCTGTCAATGGTACAGCAGAACTGGGAGAAGATTTTAAAATCTTTGGGAGTGAACTCATCTTTGAAAACCATGAATATGAGTAAGTCTTTGATCAGTCTTTAGTGTAAGTATGCACCACGTTTCAAAACAAGGGTAAAACAAGGGGGTATCGAGTCTGAGGATAGGAGGCAAAGGCGCTGAATCACACGCCGTGGTGAACCAGGACCTTACACTAGTCAAGACCTGCTTACACCTCTCATCGGTCATCAAAGAAACAGATTCCCAACAAGGATCTGGCAGTCGTAGACAGGGTCGACGTTTCCTTCGATGTAGGAATGTAGCTGCCTGAGAGGCGAGGAATCAACGGTCTGCATACAAATAAGCCGGATTTGTAAAACGGTACACGTGCTTTAATTTCAGCCATGGAGCTAGACCAGAAGTTGATGAACAATTAGAACTTTCGGCCGGAGTTTTCAGCTAGTGGAGATTGTGGATTGACATGACTACGGAATAAAGGAAGATTATTTCCAAGCGAGGCAAGGGGATGTTTATTTTTCGGCCAGCATGTCACTGGGGTCAGTTTCGGACATCCAAAAGTGGAAGTTGGGCTAAATCAGTCTGAATGTGATAGTCTAGTTCAAGTGTAACCTTCTAGGAAGTTTGAAAACACTGTGACTGATCCAGCAAACCGACTGTCGCTTACTTGAATGCACGTAGAAAATAAAGAGATCTCATGTCCAGAGGTCGACTACGCATAACATGGACCGCAGAAATGTCACAGACACTGAAAAGTTTTTTTTATATGAAGTGATAAGAAGCGCCCGTTGCAGAGATTTCTTCCTGCCCTGACGCCACGAGGCAGTCCAGGAGTAGAGAAAAAAGGAACATCCAGCATCAACCTAGCGGCTAGACTCTCGCACGCAGCTCTTTGAGTCAGATTTTGATTTCCCAAAAAAGTAATAAAAAAAAAGAAGTGGGTATGAAGCAATTTTCAGAGAAGTAAAGGCGATTAGCGTAATGTTGACCAGATCATTTACAAAGTGCCGTGTGGTATATAAAATATAAATCTAGCACCATACGACCGGTGTGCTTTTGGGGTAATGTGAAAAAAAATATAAGGAAAGTTAACAGTTTTCACATGGGGTAAAAACGAAAAAGTGCTTTACTGTACTTACTGTACCTCTCTCAGCAACTCCGTCACAGGTATTTGGTTGATTCATTCATTTTGATTGCTCTTCCCTCGTTGGGTTCCAAGGTCTCAACGCGGTGAGGAAAAAATACCCTCTGCCTTCAGAACAAGCATGTCGTAGGAGTAGACTAACTTAGGGCATCCTTCAAAGTCAGCGTCCATCTGACTGAGATGCAAGGCTACCAAGAGTCGTTATATAATTAAGCCAGTCGTGAGGAAACAGATGTGCCTGCAACACGCAGATTCTGGAGAAAAAAAAAACTAAAATAGGAAGGTGGACGAACACCCAGAACTTTCCACGGTGAACGCGAAGAGAACGAAGGAGAAGAATGCTTTCGACTTTTCCTGATGTGTTTTGGGTTTTAAACTGTGGATTCGGAAAAGGGCGAGTGACCTGTTGCCAGAAAACTGCGTGTGCAATTACTGATCTGTTGTAACTGCTGCTTCCACAGAAGATGAACTGCATTTCCCAAAAACGGGCTGTCTGCTTTGACACTTCTGACGGCTGCCTTATGCATTTAATGTGTATGTATGCTACTGACTTTGCTGAGACTGCAATTTGAAGGGGAAAAAAAAATCACAGTTGTGAACATATCATGTGGTTTCCATTGGTACAGGGACAGAACAACTGTAGGGTGACCGTTTTCTATGGATCTGCAAATGAGATGCCCCGATTATTTGTTCTGATTGACTCCACATAAAGATAACATTTCTTCAGCACTTCCATAAACAGCTGATTGGCTCATTATCAAGATAAACTTTCTTCAGCACTTCCATAAACAGTTGATTGACTCCTTATCAAGATAAACTTTCATCAGCACTTCCATAAACAGTTGATTGACTTCTTATCAAGATAAACTTTCATCTACACTTCCATTGATTGACTGCTTATCAAGATAAACTTTCATCAGCACTTCCATAAACAGGTGATTGACTCCTTATCAAGATAAACTTTCATCAGCACTTCCATAAACAGGTGATTGACTCCTTATCAAGATAAACTTTTATCAGCACTTCTATTGATTGACTGCTTATCAAGATAAACTTTTATCAGCACTTCCATAAATAGCTGATTGACTCATCAAGATAAACTTTCTTCAGCACTTCTATAAACAGTTGATTGACTCCTTATCAAGATAAACTTTTACCAGCACTTCCATAAACAGTTGATTGACTTCTTATCAAGATAAACTTTGATCAACACTTCCATTGATTGACTCCTTATCAAGATAAAATTTCATCAGCACTTCCATAAACAGTTATTGACTCCTTATGAAGATAAACTTTCTTCAGCACTTCCATAAACAGTTGATTGACTTCTTATCAAGATAAACTTTCATCAACACTTCAATTGATTGACTCCTTATCAAGATTAACTTTCATCAGCACTTCCATAAACAGTTATTGACTCCTTATGAAGATACACTTTCTTCAGCACTTCCATAAACAGTTGATTGACTCCTTATCAAGATAAGCTTTCATCAGCACTTCCATAAACAGTTGATTGACTTCTTATCAAGATAAACTTTGATCAACACTTCCATTGATTGACTCCTTATCAAGATAAAATTTCATCAGCACTTCCATAAACAGTTATTGACTCCTTATCAAGATAAACTTTCTTCAGCACTTCCATAAACAGTTGGATGACTCCTTATCAAGATAAACTTTCTTCAGCACATCCATAAAAAGGTGATTGACTCCTTATCAAGATAAACTTTCATCAGCACTTCCATAAACAGTTGAATGACTCCATATCTGCCAAAATGTCTTTCAGGAAAAACATAATGATGCGCATTTCGAACAAAGAACGATATTTGGTCAGACAATATTTCTACTTGGCTCTAGATGAGCCCGAGGTGGCAATCCATGACCTAGGTGGGTCCAGTTCTCAAATTATTTTCTCGATTTGTCTGTCTGCTTGTCTGATTGCTATTATGCAAGTATCTTTTTTGTTGTATCCTGTCTCGTATATGTGTATGACTAACCGCCAATAGGCCATTTCTTGTCTACATATTTCGATTTCCTCCTGCATTTTGAAAGAGGGTGGGGGGTGGGTAGTATCCTATTTTTATTCCTACCAATACTTTTCTCTCCCCCTCTCTCTCTCTCTCTTTCACACGCACACTCACACATAAATATACACTCAGGCGCTGTCTCTTTAATTTTTTTTCTTTCTTACTCTGTCCCTCCTAGTCTCTATTTGTACATCTTAACGGTTCTTGCCTCTACCCTTAAACTCTTTCTTTCTTTCTTTCTTTCTTTCTTTCTTTCTTTCTTTCTTTCTTTCTTTCTTTCTTTCTTTCTTTCTTTCTTTCTTTCTTTCTTTCTTTCTTTCTTTCTTTCTTTCTTTCTTTCTTTCTTTCTTTCTTTCTTTCTTTCTTTCTTTCTTTCTTTCTTTCTTTCTTTCTTTCTTTCTTTCTTTCTTTCTTTCTTTTTTTCTTTTCTTTTCTTTCTTTCTTTCTTTCTTTCTTTCTTTCTTTCTTTCTTTCTTTCTTTCTTTCTGTCCAGATCTTTCTTCTTTCTTTCTTTCTTTCTTTCTTTCTTTCTTTCTTTCTTTCTTTCTTTCTTTCTTTCTGTCCAGATCTTTCTTTCTTTCTTTCTTTCTTTCTTTCTTTCTTTCTTTCTTTCTTTCTTTCTTTCTTTTTCTTTCTTTCTTTCTTTCTTTCTTTCCTTTCTTTCTTTCTTTCTTTCTTTCTTTTCTTTCTTTCTTTCTTTCTTTCTTTCTTTCTTTCTTTCTTTCTTTCTTTCTTTCTTTCTTTCTTTCTTTCTTTTTTTCTTTCTTTCTTTCTTTCTTTCTTTTTCTTTCTTTCTTTCTTTCTAGATCTTTCTTTCTTTCTTTCTTTCTTTCTTTCTTTCTTTCTTTCTTTCTTCTTTCTTTCTTTCTTTCTTTCTTTCTTTCTTTCTTTCTTTCTTTCTTTCTTTCTTTCTTTCTTTCTCTTTTTCTTTCTTTCTTTCTTTCTTTCTTTCTTTCTTTCTTTCTTTCTTTCTTTCTTTCTTTCTTTCTTTCTTTCTTTCTTTCTTTCTTTCTTTCTTTCTTTCTTTCTTTCTTTCTTTCTTTCTTTCTTTCTTTCTGTCTAGATCTTTCTTTCTTTCTTTCTTTCTTTCTTTCTTTCTTTCTTTCTTTCTTTCTTTCTTTCTTTCTTTCTTTCTTTCTTTCTTTCTTTCTTGTTCTTTCTTTATCTCTTTTTCTTTCTTTATCTCTTTTTCTTTCTTTCTTTCTTTCTTTCTTTCTTTCTTTCTTTCTTTCTTTCTTTCTTTCTTTCTTTCTTTCTTTCTTTCTTTCTTTCTTTCTTTCTTTTCTTTCTTTCTTTCTTTCTTTCTTTCTTTCTTTCTTTCTTTCTTTCTTTCTTTCTTTCTTTCTTTCTTTCTTTCTTTCTTTCTTTCTTTCTTTCTTTCTTTCTTTCTTTCTTTCTTTCTTTCTTTCTTTTCTGGAGCAACACATTGTTTTGGGAACCACAGCAAAATGTTAGGAGGTCTGAAACCACAGGACGTAGAATGCACTCTCTAGTGGGACCTAGGCTGAGGCTGTCCCTTGGGAGGTTTGTGTTAGGGCCAGTTGAAGATGTTACTGGGTCGCTAAAAGTGGCGGGAACATCATGCAGTATGGAACGTGGGATATCACCGGTGATGGTGTAGGAGACTATGCAACCTGACAGCTCTGTGACAGAGAGTGGAATGTCCCCTTATTGGACCTTTTGTTGTTTAATCAATCCGCTACCACATCATTTAAAAAAAAAAAGTGAGTTGCGTATCCTTTACTCCACGCTGCAGAACCAACCCTATCATTTCTTTCGGGACTGTTGTGGTTTTTCTAACCATATTTTACGTCCAGTAGTTTGCTATTACAGTGGTATCTAAAAAAGCCGACCGTCCAGGAGCAATGGCAAATTCATAATCATCATCATGTAGCAGGTCCTTTGCAGAACGTCGCTCTCATCACAGTCTGCCTGAATGAAACTCGGTCTCTCGCCAGTTCTCCCGCCTCATGCACTTTCACACTCAAGGAGTCACTTATTTCCTGTGCCCATCTTCGTGTCGGTCGGCCCCTGCCCCTCCTTCCTGGTACCATGCCTTCTGCTATAATTTTTTCCAAACTACTGGACGTAAATTTGCCTATAAAAAACCAGGGGCTGTTGGGGTTGGTTCTGCAACGTCCTGTAAAGGATAAGCAACCAACCTTAGTTTACTATTACTTGCTAAACGGTGAGCTATCGGCACCACCGTCGAATCTAACGCAATGCAAAGCGTCCGCAGCTGGGATCGAACCTGGCTCCCCGGCATTACACAGCGTGTTCGCAACGCCTAAACACAGACGCCGATGCATCATGTAGCAGAGCCGATTTAATGACACAGCCGGATTTGTTCTATTTCCATAAGTTGAGTTGAGCTGAGTTGATTTAAGAACCGACACCACAGCACTAGCCTGGGGCTTTCCCCACAAGCGTTTCGCCCCCCCCCCTCCCACCCCTCCCACCTTTAGCAGCCAGCGCCGAGTTCCAATACCAATGGTGCCAGTAGCATTTTGATTATATGTCCGTCATGCCTTTCCTCTTCGCATCGAGTGTCGGCCAGAGCCCCTGGTCACTCTTCGCTGCATCACTCTGACCAGACTGTGGCGATCAATTTTTGATGTTCCGAATTGTATACGTGCTTCCACAAGGCCTTAACCACGTCTGCTTTATCATGCATCAGTGCTCTACTAAGTAGTGCAGAGCCAGCCAGTGGGTATGTCTGTTTATTTCCCAACATACCGGCATCCCCCGGCAAAAGATCCAGACAATACTCTTCACCCGTGACTGCCGAAACGAAGCATGCCAGTCTGCAAGAGGCATGCCTGCCCTCGCATTCGTTAGCATGCTTTCTGAACCTGTTACAATCACGAAAAGCTCAAATGACCGCCTCCACCTACATTCTTAAGATGTTCCGTAAATGAAACCATTCTGTTTTAGATCTCAAGATGCAACACCTCTTGAAAACTACGTCTGCCCTTAAACACAGCAGCAGTTTTGATATGATCAAAGCAACACTTGGCACACAATCTGTGCTCACTGTAATGATTCGGGAATCAAAAGCCTTTAAGGTAAGCAGTCACTGGTTCACCCACCCACTCACTCCCCTCTCTTTCTCACTCACTCACTCACTCACTCACTCACTCACTCACTCACTCACTCACTCACTCACTCACTCACTCACTCACTCACTCACTCACTCACTCACTCACTCACTCACTCACTTATTCACTCACTCACTCACTCACTCACTCACTCACTCACTCACTCACTCACTCACTCACTCACTCACTCACTCACTCACTCACTCACTCACTCACTCACTCACTCACTCACTCACTCACTCACTCACTCACTCACTGACTCACTCACTGACTCTCTCACTGACTCACTAACTGGATCACACACTGACTCACTCACTGACTCACTAACTGACTCACTGACTCACTAACTGACTCACTCACTGGTTCACACACTGACTCACACACTAACTCACTCACTCACTGACTCACTCACTGACCCTCTCACTGACTCTCTAACTGACGCACTCACTGACTCTCTTACTGACTCACTCACTGACTCTCTCACTGACTCACTCACTGACTCTCTCACTGATTCTCTCACTGACTCTCACTGACTCTCTAACTGACTCTCTCACTGACTCACTCACCGACTCTCTCACTGACTCACTCACTGACTCGCTCACTGACTCACTCACTGATTCACTCACTGAATCGCTTACTGACTCACTCACTGACTCTTTCACTGACTCGCTCACTGACTCTCTCACTGACTCTCTCACTGACTCACTCACTGACTCGCCGATCTGTAAAATGGATGTGCAGGCAAAAGTAAAGTTCCGGAACAAGATCAAAGTCCAGAAATGGACAAACAACCAGAACTTTCCACTGCAGCTTACAGCCGTGAACGCTAAGAAGAAAAGAAAATAGAAGAAGAAGAAAACGATTTGACAGCAGACCGCCTTGCGCTGATTTCGATACAGTTATCGAAAGGCGTCCATTTATTAAGCGAAGGTTTAGTTTAGTCGACGGATCAACATCATGGCATACGGATGTAGCCCTAAGTGCTCATTTATACTTCCAACTCAAGTCTGTCCGAAGAATCTCAGCGCAGTGCACGACCTCCGTTGCACCTGTGAGGATCCTGAAATACTTAGGGTAGATTGTTAACTTCACATTTTGCCCGGGCGGCGCCGTTAGGCTACTCTTTTCGATTTCCTACTGCCAGGGAATTTTTTTTTATGTGCGCAAGCACAGGCATCCGATCTTACTACCCAGAGACCAGGGGAAATTACTAGAAGTCCACTTGAAAAAAAAAAAACCAGCATTCACCGGGGCTTGAACCCGTGACCTCCAGCACTCGATGCTGATGCCATACCTCGAGACCACGCAACCCCTCAGTAAGCAAAGATGAAACTATTGAACGCGAAGTTGCCTGATAAAATCACACACAGCCAAGAGAAAAACAAATGCTAGGGCTGGTTGTGGAATGACATACCCTTACGTAAAGTAAAGGACCCTTTTACATGTGTTGAGGCGTACAGAGCATAATTAACTAGACATATATTTTAGAGACCTGTTGTTGCTCGATGAATGGTGTGGTCAACATCACGTTGGGCGCCTCTACTTCCCAGGAAAGTTTGAGGTTTTGAACAACATATCAACATCATAGCACACGGGTAGTAACCAATGAGTGCTCCGTTCTTCTTCGAACTCAAGTCTGAGTCTGAAGAAGCTCAGCACAGTGCACAGCGAAGATCCTGCAATACTTTAGATAAATTTTAAACACCAAATTGTGCCCGGGCAGCGCCGTTAGGCTATTCTTTTCGATTTCCAACTGCCAAGG